GTTTAAAGCAAAAATTAAAACCCTATCCTTTCATAAATCAACAAAATGGTTCCCACAGAGCAAATAAAACTGGAGGAAGTAACATAAATATAAAGATGAGCTTGGAATTGAGTTGTGTTGCCCCTTAAGATCAGTAGTTCTGAAAATGAGGGTGTGGGTTTATTAGGGTTAAAGACTGGACTTTGAAATTAGTTTTTCCCCTGAGAGAAAACTGGACAAAGGAAAAGGCATCTGCCAGCAGCGTCAAGAGGTCAAAGATTTTAGAAGGGATATAGAGGTGAAGCAGGTCAGAGAAGAACTGGAAGGGACGTGTAGATGACTGCAGGAGTTTCCCTAAAGGCAGGTATAAAGGTGAAGGTATGAGGAAAGTACATCAGCAGCAGAAGTGTGATACACACCAACCCCGAGGTTGAAATATTTGGAAGATTGAGTGATGATAATAATGACCAGGAGCAGCTCAACAACAAGAGAGTAATTCGTTTTTGAGCTAACGCTTTATTGTCTTCCTTCAAATAAACAGTTTGTTCGTTGTCCTGTTTGGGCTTTTTGCCACGCAGCATAGCAAATATGGTGCAATTTCACTGCTTCCACCACTACTGGCAGCATATTTGAGTGAAACAAGTGCCTTACAGGCAATACAAGCTGCAGATTTATGAATATAAAGGCTGGTCATTACCAGAGTAGAACATTTTTGTAGACAGCAAGGGAGCAAAGTCAAACATAAATAATAAAGCTGCTCTGTGTTTCGGTAAATGTGTAAAAAGGCAAATTCTGGCTAACAAGAGCAATTTTCACCTTTATGCGGTGATGTAAGTTGTATTTTTACAGCCGATTGCGCAACCTCAAGTGATGAAAAAAACAAATCAATAAACCAGAGTTAAAGGAGGAAAGAAACTGCAATTACTTGTGGACTGAGGACAAACAGCTTTTTAGCAAAGGTTGCTGCTCTCTCTTACCGCAAAGTACACAAAAACAATGGTTCGTAAAGTTTTATTGAATCAATCAGAGATTGATTCTGAACTCTTAAGAAATGATAAATTTGTGTTCCTGTCCATTCGTTTAGGGGACCCACCTGCAGCACATATTTTTTCACCATGTTTATAACTCTTTTATTATCTTCTAATAGGGCTGACACATATGGATATTTGTATTTCACTCTCATGATACTATAGACATCTCATCTAAAGCATTTCAAGCCAAATTAATGCAAGAACAACTGATAATTACATGAGTTTGAAGACCCATGGGCTTGTTTTCAATCAGCAGGACCTGAATTCAGAAATAATGTGACATGTCCATCGGAGAGAATGAGTTGCAGGCTATGGCAAGGCCCTGATCATGTAAAGGTGTTTTTATGGTTTGTGTACTTATTTTGCATCTTGAATGAAAGGCACATTCTTCCAGGAGCCACAATTTAATGGCATTAAACATATTTACGTAAATCAGTCCACTTTATTTGTGGACCCAGTTAAATATTTGTGTTACTCCAAATCTATGGTCATTTATTTTTTTCTGTATCCTACATAACCCTGTTAATTTAGACATTTTTTGTGTTGTGATCTCAAAATTTCATTCAGAAAACTGTATGTTTCTGTACAAAGACTTCATCAATAGAATGGAAAACAATATGTGTGGACAAAAACGTCTTAATCCGTCTGAAGGCCACATAGCCTGCAGAGCTGCAGAAAGACGAGCGCTGCTGCAAAGTTGGACGAATTGTAGTGGTGACATTTGAGCGGAGGATCAAACTGCTGATGAATAATCCATCTTGAAAAACCAGCTCTCTCTGCCGAATGTCAAACGGCAGCGGGATCCTTTGTTTCAGGAGTACACAGGGAAACTTTCATTTCACCAACACCAGAATGTTTTGTTCTACAATGCAGAGAACGTGCCAGTTTACACAACAGAGAAAAGTTTAGTCTCAGCCGTTAAGGACTTGGAAAAGTTATATAACCTCCTCTTTTTTGTGTGGTACCATATTGCCCCAATTTTAACAAAAACCAATTTTACTTAAGCCTGAACACATTATCCTAATTTTCAGTGAAAAAGGAGACTCCCACATTTATCCTCCGTCATGCTGTTTCACCTGCAGCTGCATTGCAGGCTTCAAATATAAGACGACGTGAACTTCCTGCTCTCCTCTCCCTATTTACCACAACAGCTCAGATGTTCTCTCCTTTACTTTGTTCATTATTGGCTTAATCTGAACTAAGTCTGCCTAATTAGCATGCAACCAAGCCTGGCAAGAGTTTGGGGCTTGTAGCATGTCCCAAGGGTAGTTGGAAAAAAAAGATGCTGAACAAAAAACTCTTTGGATTGAGTGGATAAAACAAATGCAGAGTCAACTTCTAAGAGATAAAAAGTTTGACGACCTTGCAGCTTCCCCTCAATTCTTGGTTTTCTGTAAATGAAAGTACACCACATGAAAAGTTGGATGCTGTGTTTATCATTCACAAACATACACCGACTTGCTCGCCCTTTTGATCTAAATTATCATGGGACAGGGTTTGTGTTATTAAGAACTTTAGTCTTCAATTAGGAAGGAGTGTGATTTAAAAGCCGCTGTCAAGAATACTTTCCTGTTTGAAAAAGTGTCGAAGTATGAACTTGTCCAGATCGAAAAGCAATGGTTTCCAGACAGAGCAGTCAAGCAACTTAGCTCAAAATGATGAAAGGGAAACCCAGAGGAAATTTAGAGTTGAAGCCACTATGTAAACAACTATCAAATATTATTTCTTACTGTATTATATGAGATGTTGTCATAAACATGGCTGTGGAATCCAATTCCTGCTTACCCCATTTTAAGGTTCCCAGTATCTGCAGATTAAACTATTGTCAAAAATGATCTTACTCACAGCAACGCTAAAAGGAATTCTGCAAACTGACTAAAGATTTTGAAGCACACCATTATTCATCCAGAAACTGAGTTTGTAAGGACATAAAAAAAGAACCAGTTCAGCAAACAGACACTGACCTTTTAGTTGAGTGAGAATAAATTACATCACCCTGCCCTGAAAACCTAAACAAAGTCTGAACAGTGAACCATTGTTCACTTTATTTGTTTTATTTTTGCCTTCAGTCAGAGTCAAGAAACTCAATTTCCAAGACTTTTTTTTTTATTTTGCAGCTTGCTTCAAGCAAAGTATCAGTTACCTGAAAATGAACTCCTGTAAACCTGTGTATCAGCTGCAGCCTGCTCAGAAGAATCAGAAGCAGTTTCATTGGCTCAGATTGTGTGCATAAACAAGGAATTTACTATGTAACAGAAAAAATAATTAATTCTCTTTTCAAAGACTTAAGGCATTTATTCACTCGTAACACGTACAATTGCAAAAAATCAATGAACTGTTAATTTAACTTCATTATTCCACAATAAATGGACAGACTGAACAACCTCAGGTGGCTGAACAGTGCACAGAAAATTCCTTCCAGATTGAGTCGTTGTGGTTGAAGGTCTTGTTCTTTGAAAAGTAGCTGAAAGAAGCTTGTGATGCTGCAGGATTTCTTTCAAGTACATTAGCAGACAGACAATGGGATCAGTGATGTGAGGCTCAGTTGTAACAGAGATGCACAATGCCTTAACTGAAGGAGTCTTCGAATTACAGGGCAGGTCCTGTTTACCAGCCTGTGCTCATCCAGGCTTAACGACGTACCACTTTCTTTAATTCAAATGTGAGTACAGAGACCTTAAAATAGTAAAAAATTAGAAAAAAATCTGTGTCTTGACAAATTTTCGAGGCTGAAAAATGTACAGTGTCTTGAAATTTTGTTAAATACAACAGGCAGTTTTCAAATGACGATTGTGAAGAACAGAGTATTGGTCTAAACCCAGCTACCTGAAGCCTCCTTGCTGAAGAATTGTTGATTTGTGCATTTTATTTTTGATCTGACTGCAAAATTTGTTTGATCTGAAATATTTAAGTGGTTTAAAAAAGTTGAAAGAACAAACTGTTAAGGAGGCAAAAACTTTTTCATGGCACCTTGTAACATCCCAAACAGAAACTCAGTCTAAAACAGCAAAGCATGGATGCGATCTTCAGAAACATCAGTCTCATTTATCTGTCATCCTTCTGGAGGCATCTTTATCAGGGAGGCATCTTTATCAGGGCTCCACAAAAAGGAATTTGCTAAGACTGCAGATGAAATATGGACAGGTTGGTTTCGGCAGATTCACCGACAGCAGCCCTGAGAGGATGAGATAATTACCATCCTGACAAGCTTTGATCACAGGTACAGTTATTTTCAGAATGTCTGTGATGATAGAACAATGAGATGATGGTCTTGAGATTCACATAAATTCTCCCCAGTTTTGTCTTTTTTTTCTCTCTGTCGCACTCTCAATAGAAGCTCTGTCTAGCACGTGAAAAGACAAGGAGAACTAAATAAGGGTTGGTGATGTGTCACAGCTTTGCCGTCTGTACCAATCTTCTGATTTGGAGGAGTGGAGATCGGCATGTGTTGACGACTGCTGTAAAATTCTGAGGTGAAATTCTATGGGTAAGTTATCCACTCATAAATACTGTGGGTGGAATGATTCATAGCGGTTTCTTTTTGGTGAAGAGGAAGCAAATTATACAATAAAGCGATAGAAGGATTGGTGAGCCCCACGATGAAGTCTGTTTTAGAAGAGGTGGGTGTTGAGTCGCAGGAGGGCATGCTGCTGGGAAGGTGAAGGTGCAGATGTAACCTTGCTGCACAGAAGAAAGGTTCAGTTCATTGAAACGTCTTTGAAAATGCCTCCACACTGCAGTGCGGCTCAAAAGCAAACAGACCTCCTACACTGCCTGCCTGCACCAAACCGAGAGGCAGCGTTTCTTCGCAGGGCCACCCACTTATAGGAAGGAAAAGACATTTGTGTGAGTATATGTGTTTGATGATAAAACAAATAAATGAGTCAGTTTGTTCATCCGTCATCAAACAGTGAACACCAGGGATCAAGGCAGTTTAATTTGCACAACTTGTTGGTGTTTTTCAACCGTACTCAGTCGTTCTTGCAGGTTTTATTTCCATTTTATCTGCTCCTGTATCCTGCTCATCAATCCTTCACTTATGGTGTTCTCATCAAGGCTAAGATGTGTCAGGGACACCTGAGTCCTGCAGAGCAGCGCCCCCATGATGTCATTCCCTCCCACATCGCTGATGCCGTTCCTGTCGAGGTCCACCTGCTGCAGACTCGTGTTCTCTTTCAACATGTCTGCCAGCAGCCTGACTCCGGGGTCCCCCAGATTGTTCTCATCTAAGATGATCTGAGTCAGAGAGTTGTTGCCTTTCAGGCTGTCGAAAAGTTCCTTCCACGCAGACAGATCCGCGCTATCTGTTTGTGCCAGCCCCAGGTACTGCAGCTGTGAGTGGGATCTCATGTAGGATGCTAAAACCTTGACCCCATCGCTGCTGAGCCCATTTCCACCAATATCCAATTCCAGAAGTGTAAAAGCCCTGAAAGAGCTCCACCCGGTGGGGAGCTGCAGCACCACATTTTGCTCTAATGGGAAAGGCAGCATCTGGTAGATGGCTGCGGCAGCTGCTGCAGTTTGAACCTGCAGCTCCGCTATCCCACTCAATAGGGTCAGCACTCCGTGGTCACGCAGTTTGTTCCCAAACAAGCTGCAAAAATAAAGAAGAAGCAATGCAGGAGTAGATGCAGGAAAATGTATATTCCTATATTTACCTATTTCCAAAATTTGTAATAAATATTAATACAATTGAAGTAAACTTCAAACATTTGAGTAGTCGATAATTTCTTTTTTGTTTTACTTTAAAAAATTTTAATCAAAAGTAGTTTTGATAATTATTTTAGGTTATATGTTGTAACATTTACTTTGAGCATGGTTGTTTTGCTTTTAACTCGGTTTTAGATCCAATAGTTTTCATAAAGAATTTATTGTGACTGTTTAGTGCGTCCTCGCTGGGATCTGAGTCATTTAGATATGAAAAGAGTGAAAAACTCCAGGAACTAGTTGTGTCAACAAATTAGCTCATTTCCAAGTTAAAATAGGACGTTTAGTCACGTTCTTGCCATCAGTGTCACAAAGACGCTGAAAGACCAAAGCAGTGTCAGCTGAACACTTGAGGATGGCTCACTCTGGTCCTGCATCAAGAGTTTTCCATTTCTTTCTTAAAGATGTAACATTCAGATTTACATCTTGTTTGATGTCTACTGTAGATAGTTGTAGGTATTAGGAACAGACATCCAAAGTCTAAAGCAGCCAAAGACCAAAGAAAAGTATAAAAATATGGAACTCATAATCAATTAAAAGAAAAATAAGATATCTGGGCTCTGGGAAGCAAAGTATGTATAACTAAAGAGCAGTCTAATGCAAATGTAAATGATAAGAATGACAGCACTTTTAAATTCACATATTGCGGAAAAAGGACATAACTCAGAAAGTTATAGAGGTGAGTTTATAGAGGTGAGCTGGGGAATCTCTTTGTTCTACAAAAACGACAACGTTTGCCAGGAGAAATCCTTGCTTTGTCTCTTTGATTTATATAATTGTCTTCTTTAGTCAGGGTAAGCTATTTTAAATAATCTCATGACTGCATGACATGTTGTCATTTTTAGATAATGTATTTCTCCGCCAGATTTTAATCTGATATAATGCGATTGGGTGGAACCATGGACTTACTGTAAGCATTGGACCTGCGGCTTCACTCTCAGGACGTCCAGCAGGATGTGAGCGCCGTAGGGGCCGATGAGGTTCAGGTTGAGATTGAGCAACGTGACGTCAGACGCACTGTTCTTCAGAACCCCGGCGAGACTGAACAAAAGGTCATCTGTCAGTTCGGTGTTCCTCAGAACCAGCTGCTCAACCTCATCAGATGTGCTCAACATCATCATCATGGCATCAAGCTGTGTTCACAACACAAGAAAAAAGGTATTGCATTATTAAGGCAAGATGTTGAGTTCTAAAGTAATTTAGACTGCGAAAACATAAAATCTTTTCAAGGATTTTTGGTTCAGTCCATTTCTAACACTCTTATCCCCAGTGGGGTCGGGAGGAGTGCTGGTGCCTATCTCCAGCAAACATTTTAGGCGAGAGGCGGGTAACACTTTACAAGTAACTTTTCAGTAGGAAATATAAATTCGTATGTTCTTCTCTCAAGTGTACCATGATATTTGCACAAGAAACTAGACCGAAGATTTTATTTTTGCAGGGTAGAAAACTTGTTTAGCTTCACAAGTTGGAAAAAATATCAGAAAGTCAAACTGTGAAGTAGTTTCCCATAGAACTTTTGACATATTTCATCGATATAGCAAGAGTTATGTATTAAACGTAGTCAGGGCCCTAAAGGGTCCACATAATATACACTTTCTGCCTATTTATTTATGTAAGTATTTTTTTTTCTGCAGGAAATTATGTCGAATGAAAGAGAAGAACACTGTAAAACATATTTGAGTAAGAAATATCTCAAAGTTAACTGCAAAGTGGATTATGTCTCCTTTGTAAGGATATAAATTTCTGTAATGTATGCAAACAAACAAAAAAATAAGATATTAACTTTTTATGCAAAAGGAAGCAGCCCAGCTTCAGAGCATCTTGACGCTTGTGGAATAGAGATATGAGGAACACAGGTGTTGGAGGCTTAAATACAGAGATGAGAAGAGGGTTCAGGGGAGACATAAGGTATGGCTGTCGGCCACGTCTGCCTGGCCACTTTGTGAGACCATGAGGAATTCTTCAGGCACTGTTGAAGATTTTTCATCCTGATCTATGTGACATCCTGATCTGCTCACCTTAGATAAAGTTCAAGGACCATTTGCTGCAATTGTTATATGTTGCAGAAAAAGCAGCATTTAGCTGCTGCATCTAATTATAAATTAGAGTAGCCTGGATTTATAGAGAATTTATGAGATTTTAAAAGTAATTTTTCTGAAAATGGTAAGAATATTAGTTTTCTAGAATAAGGTGGAAAGAATTCAACTTAAAATTATGCTAAAATGTTCAAGCAGTTCATTCATATCTATCGTTGTATGTGTTTCATTTTATGCAAAATAATGCATAAAATGATAATGTTATGATTTGTAATAAGTCTGAATACAGTATTATAAAACAAATTTATACCGTCGCTAGCTCTTTAAAAACTTTTCTAATGCAGTTTTGTGTCAATTGGTCCATTTGTACCTTCTGAATTAATGTCTGATCAAAGTACAGCAGTCAAGTAGTTTATGTCTACAAGTATGCTCTCAGCATGTTTCTCTTTATCCCATGGATTTGTTTGACCTGAAGCTGGCATCGACTCCTGAAGCGAGAAGGAGATTTAACCGATACTGATTGGTTCCTGTATGCCCATAAACATCAGCCGCACCAAGGGGAACAAACTTTCGGAAAACTGCTAAACAGCAGAAACACTGAGTTCCTTTAAATCAATGTTAAAAACTTGCTTTTGACCCATAATAACTGGAATATTGGCCAACATATTTGATGTGTGTTTTACAACTGGTGACTGCATGATATGTTTATGATGTTATGATTGTTTTTTGACAAAACAATTAGGATGCAAAATGAAGAAAATGTTTTTCATAGATGCTAGCGAAAAAAATATTGCAATCTCTAGTAAAATTCTCCAGTGAAAGATGCGTCCACCATGTTCTGGTCACCAGTCCATAAGCATTCTGTCCTATAAGCATGATGTTTAAACCATCCCTGATTTACAAACTATTTTCTTATTGGAATCCTTTCACCAAGCAACTCACGCATCAACAAAGTTACGGTGGTGCAAACTTTATGTTCAGCAATAAACAAACAGAACTAAACCAACATGATTTATTATGACCTATAAGAAACATGTTTGTAAAGCTCCACATTGCAGAGGCCTGCAGTTATGCTCTGAAGACTTTTGTTTCTCTGAGATTTCCATCTCACAAAAACAAATAACAATGTTTATAATAATTTTCTGATTTCACTTATGTTGTATTTGCTTTTCTTTGTTATTATCTACCACTCTTCAAAAATACTCTCTCAAACTTCTGAAAAATCAAAGTTTTTAGTTTATTCCTATGTTTTCTTTTCCTTTTTTCCCATCTGAGCTTCACTTTTCAACCACTTTTTGTTGATAATGTGCCAGTTTAAAATTGATGGATGCAAACAGAAACCTTGATGTAAGAAACATGAGGATACTAACTAAAGCAAATTCCATGATAATGTAATCATTTATAATTATTGAACCTTGGAGCTGTTGCGCATTAAGGGAACCCTTATGTGATGAGAAGGTGTAAGCATTCAACTTGATGATTAAGTCAAATGTGCAATTAGAATAAATGAGCGAGCCCGATCAATGGGATGACCTTTAGAGGTGAGTGGCTGCCCTAATTTATCTGCAGAACAGCAATCGATCACATCATCAAGACTCAACTAAAGATTACAAGTGGTTTTAAGAAGAGATGTTGATGCTCATTAGCAAGAGAAAATCATCGTCTTAAAGACAGAGCAAATCAACTCAGAAAATTCAAGACCGCTGTACATTCTTATCAGAAAGCATCAACAAAAATCACTACTGATAACAGTGAAAGCAGCAGTACTAAAGCAGATTTAATGAGTCTACAAGGAAAATGAAATAGAAAAAAAAATTGATTACACATACGAAAAAAAACATTTTGTTATATGTCGGAGCAGATTTGGAAGAAGTGCTATTAAACAGACAAGCAAGAATGATTACTGTTTTAGAAAGAATGGTCCCTGTATGCCCATATGTTGTCATGTTGAATTCTTTATTTCAACATGACAACATTAGAGTCAACAATTAAACACGATCATGGAATTAGAATGACTTGATTTGCTTTCCATAGACGATAAGAAAACAAATTTTGATTCATTTGGGAATCCAGGAGAAGCTCAATCCAAGTTGGAACAATAAATCACAAAAAATGTTGCAAAATAATAAATGTTGTCTTTGATGGACACAAAGTCAGCAGTTAGGGGAAGAAACCTACAAGAAATATTTTACAGGTGAAGGGCAATCTGCCTTTCAACCATCAGGGAATTATTTATGTGCAAATGACATCAGAAACAAATAGCAACAGTTTACAGAATTGCTTTGTCTGAGGCTTTGTAAAATGAGAAAAACAGGGTGGAACAATTTAATTTTTCTTTCAACTTAAAGATTTCTTTGAAAATACTATCAAGGCTTTGTTCATATTCATGCAAAAATATTGATAATCAAAGAAAAAATGGTTAAAAGCCTTGGTTGAACATGAACACCAGATTATTTTAATATAAGTTTTAAAAAAGGATAGGTATAAAAATATTACATATATTTCATAAATACATCACACATGATGTTTTTCTTTGGGAGGTTTATTTCTTCATTCCTCACTCTTTTCTTTTTTTAAGCATTTCAATCCATCCCTGTAAACTTTAGCATTTTGATTGATAACAACTCTGACTTGATTTGTTGCAGAAATTATAATAAACAACACTAAAAACTAAATGTGTTTTCGTTTGGAGAGCTATTGTTTAAATTGCATTTCTCACTCTAAAAAACCAATGCACATGCCTGCATACAGTAATCCCAAAATGTGGTCCTCTGGCACAGCCTGTGCTTGTAATTTTAAGGCAGCAGTGCTTCTGGCAGAAACACAGGTTCTCTCCACAGTGGATTTGTGTTGGACACACACCTGTGCCTGCAGGTCTTGTTCTTGAACAGGCTCCTCTTTGGCAGCATCCTGGCCTGCAGTGCCCACCTCCTCCTCTGCTGGCTCTCCATCAGGCTGCGGGACTGTGTCACTCTCTGCACTCAGCTCCACATCGGAGTTCTGAGCTTTGGGGCACGATGACGACATCCTCTTCTGGAGTCGGCACCTCTCTAGGACTTAAAGAGATATTTAAGCAACTAATGGGTGATAAAACCGTGTTAAAGGAACACAAGATTTACATACGAGAGTCAAACTAATAATGTTCTGTTTGTGCATCCATTAAGCAATAGAGAAAGTGAAACAATTTAGATTTATAGATGTGGGAATATGTGTCTCTGTGTTGGCAACATCTGTATAATCTCTCCCACACATCATCAATCTTCCTTCAAGCAGACGCTGCTCTGCATGCTTCTTGCAAATTCAGTCATTTTTTCCCCCCAAATTGTGTTATGTAAATGAGTTACAGCCCTCCAGTGGGACTCATTTTAATTCTGCTGTTATGTAAAGCCTGAACTCACTGTTTGCCTTGAACCAGTGTTTGTTTGGGCTCTGGTTCAATTCAACACTCATTTCCACACATTCTTTGTAGAAGTCCTTCAGTCTTCCCCCATCGCTGCTTTTCCCATCTGATTTGAAGTCTCGCTGCTCCTTTCTGTTCTGCTTAGTCAGTTCCTCCTCATCCTGCAATGAATCTTGTAAAAAGAAATGCTCTTCTTCTTTTATTGCAAAACCATTAAAGAGAAATAACACATGCACAAATCTTGTTGGGTTGAGTTACACTGTAAAACTAGTCTGCATTTGTTACTTTAAGGCTGGACGACTGTAATTCTTTACTGTCAGGAAGTCCACCAAATGCATTTGCATGAAAAGCTTTTGGTTCATCCAAAACCCTCCTGGAAGAGTTTTGACATTAATTAAAAAGAAAGATAATATTTCTCTTATTTGAGCTCTCTAGTAAATCCCTTAATGATGTAGATACATTAGAGATTTTCCATATTTTCCTAACAGACCACATTGCTCTCTGACTGCAGGAATTAAAACTTTGCTTTTTGAACAAGTTTATAGTTCAGCAACATCTGGAAAACCAATTTTCCAGGCAAGAGATGATGAGCATTGTCTGTCCTGTGTCATGCCACAAGAGAGTCGTTCATATTGAATTGCTTCTCATCCAAAAGAATGAGCTTAATAATTCTGCCCAAGAACAATGCCAGGAATAAAGAGTGGTGTCATTGCATCATATTAGATAATAATCGTCTGAGGATTTTCCAGTGTGATGGAGCTCTGATCACTTTGAAGTGGTTCACAGATGAAGCACTGAATTTATGGACATATGGTCAGAACATTTCCGAAGCTAAACCCAATGAGAACATGTGGTCAATTCTTCGAAAGAACAAATTTGATCAACTTCACAAGTCACAAAGTGTAAGTCAGCCATGTCCAAAATCCATAACATTTGAATTTTAAGCCCTAAACATTTAATTTGGACAAACAAGACTACCGACTAGTGGCATTGAACTCTTTAAAGTCAACACTGTTACATTCACATTTGGTTTTAGCAAATTTATTTTTATGCTTCTATAACTAAAGTAAACTAAATGTTGAGGTGAAAAAAACAGACACACTCTAGTTTCACTGCCAAAATTTTTGGCTCTGACACCTTTTTTCATTCTGTTTCACAGTAATGAAACCAACAGGAATTATCCAGCGCTCACCAATGGTTTTACTTGTCTTGTTTGATGGCAGCTGTTCTGTCTGCAGCTTAGTGACTTTCCCCATTGTTTTTGAGTGGTTGGGTTTCTGTCCTGTCTGCTCTTCAAATTGTTCAGGCACTGTTGATCTCTCTGAGCCCTTGCCGCCTTGCTCATCTTCCCCTCTGCTTTTCCCACCTGTCTTTCCTTTGCTCTCTTTCTGATCAGTTTGACCCTTGCGTTTTTTCCCCCTGAATTTTTCTTTTATCCCAGAAAAAATAGCCTCTTCACTGTCAGTGGATTCTTCGCTGCGTTCCTTAACGTGTTTTCTAGTTCTCCTCACTGATATCTTCTCAGGTTTGGCTGGGATAAAAAGAGGGGATGATGGACAAGACTCGATGGTGCCTTTATGGGAGACAAAATGAAAGAAAATAAGCCTGTGTGGTAGATTTTTCAGTAGAAAAATCTGAATCCCAGGAGTGGGCACAATGTCAATGTCAAAAAATATTGATGAATAAGCTTTGGGAAGTAATGGAAAATGGAGACACTCATTTCCAGGCTTTGTACCATTGCCAGTGTTCTGCTCGAGAGGGAGAATTAAGTTTTCCTTTGTGCCGTTGTTCAGCTGTTGGCAGGAGCTGTATTTGTTTCGGAGACTAGTGCATCTGAAAAAGATGAAAAATGTGCTTTCATCATCAGTCATATTTCCTCCCCTGTGCCACCATCATCACAACCATTACTTTTTTTAAGCAGTCTTTCTCTTTTGTTCTCAAATGTCTAGTGTTAGATTTGCCTACTTTGATTTCTCTGGTACTAATTTTAAATTTCTGTCGACATGTGGCTGTACCTTCACTGTAGGATGAAACCTGACCTGTAGCAGGGGGTCCCACCAGCCAGCCAGCTCAGTCTGAAGAAGCTCTTCCTGCCCTGCTGAAAGCCGGGAGCGTAGCGGTACTCACAGCAGGAGCTGATCCGAGCCACCATGATACCGTTGACATACAGGCTGGCACTGAAGGGGAAACCTCTGTGCCTCTGAGACACAAACTGAAACTGCTCTGAAAAATAAAAGTGGATAAGACTTAAAGTAATATTTCAACCTTTGGTTAAAATGGAAGGTCTCCCCTTTCCATCAATACAGGAGAAACTATATTATTTACTCTTTAGATTCAAAATACTTGTTGGGTTTATTTCAGTATTTTAGTAAACATATGGTAAAACTCTGTCACATCAGATTAAGTCAATCGAACGGCATCTAGGATTGTTAGAAATATTTAAACATTGCTGAATTGCAGCAAATGTGTAAAATCCATTTCACTCTCATGATTTCGGACTGAGCTCTGGTTGTTCAGCATCAATGTCATTCCTGCTGCTTTCCCTGACTTCCTTCTGTTTGCTCAGTATTAAAGGGCATCCCAGTATTGTATTGCAGTATGTAATCTGCATCTTGCACGTTTTTCTCCACTCTCCTCCTGATTGCTAATACGATGCCAGGACTTCTGTTTGACAGCATTGCATGCGTCCAGTTTGCATTTTCTCTGCAGTATGAAAAACTCGCAGTTTCTTTCAGTCCCCCAGCATTAACCTATTTTTCGCAATTTGGATGTCTTCTTGACAAATGTGAACCACACTACCCGGGAATGAAACACATGCCGATTTCTATGTGCAAGAAACCTGGGCACAGCGCTTTTTATTGAGCTGTTGTGAAAATTATAGATTACTCAACAGGTGCTGCAGCTTCAGATACCCTTAAAACCAGTCTGCAGTGATGCGCCTCCACAAACATTAGTGAAAGCTCAAAACACTCAAGGAACTCTCACAATCCCTCCCGCTTAATGGAGAGTGGATTACGATCTTTATGCTCCCAGAACACCTTTCTGAGGCCCTGCAGAGATCAGCATCCACACTCTGGTGGATTTTAATCTTGTGGTCCGGTCTTAGTCTGGTGTTAAGGGAACTTACAGCCAAATCATGTGGACACAGTTGAAATCAGTAAATCTACACTGGCATCTTAATGTCTTGTTTAGTAAAGTAGACTTTGATGGAAACGCGACAGGTAAAATGAGAAACAATTGAGCAAAAGTTACCAAAGTTAGTGGAAAAAAACAAAAGTAACAGCAAATTTAAAAAGAGTATCTAAATAGCAGTAGGCACAAAAAGCTTCATAACAAATAAATGATGAGCAATTAGAAATTCAGCATGTTAGAATTAGCAAAATAAAGAACAAAGCAGGATCGTACAAATGATACAGAGAAGTAATGATCTTTCTAAGCAAACCCATGCTAGTCAAACCTTAGCAGTTATTTTCCCTAAATAACTGCTAAGGTAACATATTACATTAGCTTTTTAATCTGTTTCATCTTAAATAATTAACAACATCTTCAATTTATTCAAAATTATAAGAGATTTGTATATTACCTCCTGCACTAACAAGGCCCTTAAAGACACAGAGATTTTCTCCTCCATTGACTTGCTGAAGCACCTTCAGTTCATCTTTGGTGGACTTTGAGAGTGAACGTCGCTGACTTGGTCCGAGGTAGGTCATAGTCACTGTCACATTGGACTTCTTTGCCTCCTTTTGGGCCTTTAGGTTACTCTGCTATAAAGAAAGACACTGCATACATATTTGCATTTGTGCTATAAATGAAGACGTTGTTCTCAAAGTTGATGTGTTTAAAGCAGAAAAAATGAACAAACAAACCCGATGCTTTGACAGGTAAGGGCTGTATCAGCTCCAAAAGTCTGATGCAGTCTGAGCTGTAGTAAAATGTTGATACACAGCAGGATGGAGCCATGTTTCTATGTTATCGGCATAAAAATCTGACCTGGCAATCAGATTATTACTACTAAACCGAAGAATCATCGGACCAGGCAACATTTGTTTAAAACTTTCTCTGTCACCAAAGAAATAGTTATGTGTGTAAATCACAACAGATCAGCAGTTTCTGATAAACAAAGTTTAGTTCATCTGGAACTGAAATATACATGAATCATCTAATTTACTGTAAGAGATACAATTACAAATAAAGTTACTGGTTGGTACATAACAGTATAAATCTTTTTCAGCATGAATCTGATAAACAGTCACTTCACCTGTTTTTCTGTGTGAACTCTTGTTCTTTGTGAAGTAACTGATGAAAAGGATCCTCTTCGTTTGTCATACAGATAAGGGCAGGACTGACTCAGTGCTCTGCTGAGAGAGTTCAGGCTTGGAGCTTTTTTTGAGATGGCTGGAAGATAAAGGTCACCTCTTGCCATCTTTCGGGTATCAGCTGTGGGATCGTTCAGCTAAATCCAGGATACACAAACAAATAAAAAGAGCTTTTTTAAAAGTGTGCAAAGGTCTGATGGCTATCACCCTGATTGTGCACAGAACCATTAAAGTTTCTGAATAAGAAATCCTTCAGCCCTGTCAAACCTCTCTTCATGTCTCTATATCTGTTTCATATTACATGAATTCTTCAATAATGTTTTGGCTCCAATATTTCAGAAAAAAATGCATTTTATTTTTGCTAATCAGCCTTTACAGCTGTTTGTTCATTTCTTTTTAACCGTCTTGTACTCTGGCGCCTCTCAAAGGTAATGGATGGTACTGCAGAAATTACATTAAAATGAAGAAGGGCACTGCTTTTATTTTTAAATGCAGTCTAAATCGATATTCCCCTTAAAAACATTTGAATGTAAGCAATAAAAAGGAAAATTAAAGTAAAACAAAGTGGTATTTTGATCATAGAATAGCATTTTTCTGTTTCTCAGACTATATTCATTGAATGATAGAACATTCAATGAATATTGAATAGAATGTTGTTTCTTCTTTATAACTCAATTTTAAACTTGAAAAAAAAATGTAACTTTCATGGTGAAAAATGTCTACAACTTATAACTTGCTTATAACTGCATAAATGTATTTTACCTTGTAGATTTCCACAGTATCAGGGTTCTCGAGCAGGAGCAGTTTACTCTTTGCCCTGATCAGACTTGCAATGGAGTGAACCATTTTAGCATCTCTTGGCTTTCCTGGGATCTGCACATACAAATTAAACAATCACACAAACACACACAGTGGAGGTTAAATTGAAACATCTTCCTAAATATGACAATGAAATGTACAAAGATATGCTAATGAAGACTCACAGGAGTGTCTCTATCTCTTCCAGGAACTTCCCTGTAATACGTATCCTGAAGAAGAGACTGGCTGTTCCTCCGACTTCTTCTCATTGACTTGTTCTGATTTGTCTCCATCACAAACTGAGACAGATGCATATAAAAAAAAATTAGTTTTATGGAACACTAAAATCAATTTCTATTGAATAGAATAGTTGATTTGTTGATTTTGACTTCCTGGAGAATTTTGAAGGGTTCTCCGCAGATGTGAAAATTATATATGAGAAACACACACAAAAAAATGATGAAATCATTTATTATGGGGGGAAAAAAGCTCCTCAAAGAGATGATTCTTAAACATGTCCATGATGGTTTAATACCATTTAATGGCTCCATTAAAATAAAACTCTTGTTTTCAGTTAGCACAAATGATCAGCTGCAGCTATTTGATGGATTACAGCATCTAAAATGTGAAAACTGAAGAAATTTGTGATAAAGCAAATACTTTTTCACAGCAATATGTTTATCTATTAACTGGATAGGAATATGTTAACTGTTTTGCTTTGTCAGATATGGAAGGAGATTTTGAGATAAAATATTTCACACTCAAAATTATTATTCAAAACTATCCTAAAAATCTTAAATACACTTCAAAATGGCTGCAGGTGCTGGGGAGTCAATGGAAATTTTTAAAAAAAAAATAAATTAACTTCCTAAAAACAAATAAATTGTTGTAAATTGGTGCAACAAAGAGCTACAAAAACATTTAAATGGTAAATTTTGATTATCACAAAGACATAAAAACATGCTAATTGGTTAGGTATTTACTTATTTGACAGAATAAAATTATTTGTCAAATGTTTTTTTGAGTTACCAAGCTGATTGTTGCCGATAACAAAGTGATTTTCTGGTATCTACTATGAACGCTGAACCAACAGAGGAAAGAATAGATTTTCCTGGTTGGGATACAATGTGGAAAGTAATTCACTCAAGCAGAATGAGGTGAAGTCATAAGATTAGTGTTTGAGGGTGGAAATGGATTTAGTCTTCTTCTTCTCACCTGAGCTGAGGGACCGCTGTGATCCTGCAGCTCAGTGAATTCATTCAGGCACAATAGTTGCTCTGTGGTACCCAATGTATTAAAGAAAAACTCCACAGAAAGCACATATTGAGATGACAGTCATCTTGTTTTGTTTTGTTTTTTTCCATTTCTCACTAACAAGCCTCCATTGTTCCTTTTGCAGCCTGACATTGAGATGTGGAACATGAAACCCAATAATTGTATCTGGATTGAAGGATTCTGGAAAAACAGACAGCAGGCAGCGCACATATATTTACAGTGCGAATATACACCATCCCAACACATGGCAAAGATACATATGAAGTCCTAAAATAAATTAATTTGTAATTGCAGTCACATGATGTCACATTCAGAGTTACAAAGGACATTCCCTGTGGTAAAAATATCATGCAAAAGAGATTTGTTTTTCTCTTTATGGTCACTCTTTAAGATGGGAAAGATAAGAAAACATTCTATTTAAGTCAGACAGACGTGTGCCTGTCAGGAAACAGCAAGAAGAATAGACACTTTCCTTCATGTGTTTATATATTGAAGAAAATCAATAATTCATAAGCTTAAAACTGGAACTGTGACATACATGACTGCAAGAGGATTACAGATTTTCTTTCTACTATACACAATGAGGAGAACCATAAAGGAGGCCTAGAGAAATCCAGTGTCTTAGGGTTTCCATAGCAACTATTTAAAAATTAAATTAGTTGTATTTACTGCTTTTGTAATGCTGGAAAACCTAAACTATTACAGCTTTTAATGACAATCAAAGTCAGGCCACCTCCTAATACATGACTTTGACACAGTACTTACTAATGAAATTTTATAATGTTTACATTATTTTTGTGCCTCCAAGGTACAAAAGCATTGGCCTGTTTTATTCAAAAGACAGACGCTCTGGCCTTCCTGTGGAGGTTTGATATACATATTAGGGTCAATTTAACCATCTTGTTTTTCAACTCTTCCTGACTTGTGACTGCATTACTTGCCTGAACTTTTAACACAGTTACACTCCAGCCAGGGCACTAAGGTCAACGAATCAGTCGCTCCACTAAATTTCTAAATCCTGGCTTGAATGCAGAAGTGATGGAGTCTTTTCTGTAGCAGCACTGCTTCTGTGTGGGACAGGCTGCATTTTAAAAGGAGTCACTCTGGCTACTGATCATTTTAAACCATCTGAGAAATGCAAATATTCTTTACTTAGAAGTAGAAAACAGGTCTAAGAACCATGTCTATAAAACAAGAAAAATTTTTAAAAAAACTTTAACCCTTTCATGCATAGTGGCCACAAGTGAATAACTATCAAAAAGCCATTTTTTTGTGCTTCTTGTGGATTTTTATAAATGCACACAAACCACTGAAGTGGACACTAATGCATCATAAACTACACTGTCAACTACTGGCCATCAGCTACAAATGCAAGAAATTATTTTTATTAAATCCAATATGGCCGACAGACAAAAAAGCATGGCATCAAACCCAGTCCCTCTTTCTAATGTAGACGACTCTTGCAGGTAAAAATATATATTGTGACAGATAACCCCTAAAGAACAATACTACTGGTATATTTTTCAAATAACAACTTTGTACTTGGAGAAAATTACAATTGATCACCTAAAAAAATAAAAAAATGTATGCCTTAAGAAAATTCAAAAAATCCTAACACAAAGGATCATAATTCATGCATGAAAGGATTAAGGTTTATAAAGAGAAATCTCTTCTTTGACTCAATGCTTTTCTATTAAACCCACCACACAACCTTACCTGCTGCCTTGTCTGAGCTGAAAGAGTCTTTTTGCACCACGTAATCTGATACCTGCACAGCTGCTGATCTCCTGTTCTCTGCTCTCCTCATGCAGCCAACCGGTGACACCTGAGCAGTGCACACCTTTGGCACTGAAACGCTGCCGTCCTGACACTGGTTGCTCATGCATCTTTAATTTTGCCTGACCTTCGTTTATTACTCTTCAGTTGCATTTCTTAAAGTGTTTGAAAAAAAAAACTACATTTACTTAGAGAAGTGCAACATTTAAAATTCTTGTTCTCATTCTGTCTGATCCCAAAAAAATATAATCTTATAAGTGTTTTGTTTTAAAGTTCTGCGTGATTCTTGGGCAGCAGGTTTGCAGTCAGTAAGGACTGCTGCGTCCTGGAACAGGACAGAATGTTTTCCATTGTACTGGATCTTTCTCCTGGGTCAGGTTAAGGTGTGCTGCTTGATCCCAAGTGCTAAGATATGTCATTATGTTATTATGGCATACTGGCAGGACCTTCCTGTATGTTGCCCCTCTACTGTTGTTCACTCCCTTTTTCTGAAATTTCCTTGCCCTGCATTTCTTGGCTATTTTGTCACTTGGAGGCTTTATTTT